TACACAGTAATTTCACAATCAATACGTTTCTCGTCTCTTTACTTAACAATTTTTATAATAAACACTATAAATCACAGTGATTCACAAGCTCGATAACTTTGCTGTATGCGACGACTGCAAAACACACACAATTTACGGCTCAACGTCATTACTGTTCGGTTGACTCAATTATCTATATCTTTAATCTCGCTGGTTTTTCTTGCCAGGCTTGTATACTAAAAAGAGGGTGTCTCGAATGCACTTGGGCCTTCATGATCATTCGAGAAATTCCAGCGCTCATGCTCCCGGCGTCACACAACTTCCACTGTCGTAACAATATATGCATATATATATCATTTGATATTATCTTGTACTCATCATTCTATTAAATGGAAATCATCTTCGAAATTCTACTAAAATCAAACTCCAATTGTGCATAAATCTTTATTTCAAGAATCATATGAGCACCATCTAGTGTCAATAATTATGAACAAAGCACAACTTGCTGCACTAACATTAAATCCAAATAACTGAATGAATCTTTTTCTAGTTATTTTTAACATGTCTTGCCCCAGAAACAGAAGCAACTTCCTCATCACTTGAAGTATGGTTGCAGGACATTCTCATTATCACTTGAGGTGCAAGGCATTTTCATCATCACTTGAAATATTAGTGAAGGCATTCTTGTCATCACTTGAGGTATGGGATCAAGCTATTCTCCAACTTATACCTGTCAAGACTACTTCTTGATTGGTAAACTCGCTACATCTTTCAATACTATTTCCTAATTTAAAAAAGATTGTCCAATATATAAACGTTTTAGAAAAAAAAGAATATTAATTGCTGCAGTTACAGAACTTTATGGAACATTTGACTTATTCATTTTTGACCTTTATGCGTGTATGAAAGCACGTTATATTAATATAATAGTAAATTGACAACCAATGACTTATAAACATGATGAAGTACTTTTATTTTTGGGGAACATACTACAGGTTTCCTTCTGTAGTATGTTCCTCAAAATAAAAGTACATCATCATATTTATAAGTCATTGGTTGTCAACCTTCTTTCCAGAAGACCTATCTTGTAACTTTTCAACTGCCAACTCTAAGGATTATTTTTTTATATAGTTATGTTTAGTGTCTTCTGGTTGGTTAACTTTTCTACATTTATTACTCAGTTTTTATATCTTGCTCCATACAAAATACAATTGTGAAGGAACTTTGATGCATACTTTTAAATCTTTATAAATACAGTTGTCATTAAACAGTATTTGTATTTATGGCAAAGTTTTGTTTGTTTGTTTGGTATTAAGCACAAAGCTACACAATTGGCCATCTGTACTCTGCCCACCACGGGTATCGAAACCCAGTTTCTATTATGGCAAAGCTGCTAAGGCTATCCCTAATTTTGAACTACTGACCAGAGAGAACCAACCAGCAAACAGCTCCCTACCATCCATGCTAAGGGATTGACTGTCACTGTTATAATGCACCCACAGCTTAAAGTGAGGGGAATATTTTGTGGTATAGCACCGATTGGAACCCAGCTCATCAGCTTCAATATCCAAAACTCTATCCTAAGCCTGGCACCAGACAAAGACTGATTGTTTAAAAGAAAAAATAAGTAATATCTTGTAGATTCTTGTTTTCACAGTTTTGAGTTAGTTTTTCAGAGATGTTGGTGGCAACTTGGGTTCTTTCAAAGCTCTATCATCCAACTATACGTACTGAAAAGGTTTCTTTAATTTTTCTCTGGAGTGGTGGGTTATGGATTATTTTGGTCCACTGTCCAACTGGTTTTCTATGATATATATTCTTCCTTAAGTTCACCAGTATACAGTTGTCAACTAGTAGTTTTCTCATAAATCAAGAATCGTTATTTGTTGCTCATAATGGTAACAATCACGAACAAATTGGAATTTTGTATTATCTCTCATGCACCCATTTTTAAATAAACTGTAATTTTATCATGTATGTTTTACAAATAAACTAACAAATCTCTTGCTGTATAGCACTGTTTTAATTTCCTTGTGGTTTAAACTATTCAAATTTATTATTTTTATGCAAATGAAATGTAAAACTACTGTTTCTAAATAAACACTTTATAAATGTAATTTTTAGCCTTTGAATAAATTATGATGACTTACAGAAAAATGTAGTAGAATCCAAAAAGTTAAACTTGTCACATGTAAAAAAATTTAAACATCACTAACAGTGTAAATGGAATACCACAAAATTGTTCTTTTATTTATCATTGACCAAATCATACACCAGAAAGTATAATTACAAAACTGTATATTTATTTACAAGATCACTGTTTTAACAAGCTACAGAAATTCACTTTAAATCAAGAGCTCCAAGTTTAAACATAAATGCTTGAATCTTTTGTCTCCTCCACTCAAGAAAATTTTGCATACAATTTAAAACCTTAAATGTGTAAATAAACCATACCTTTTGAAACGAAACTTTGTAGAATTTGTAAAAATATTGAATATTTTCTCTAAATCCATGAAAATGTATTAATTACTCATAGTGACTTATTATAGGTTTATATATATATATATATATATATATATATATAAAACAACAACTAAACTGACAACTCTTATGTACACATGTATGAAACTAGCAAAGCTCCAAGGCATCAGACATGATTAACTTTTATCCAATCTAGTTTCAATACATTACATCTGGATTAATTCTTTCTTTGAGAAAAAAACAAAAAACATACTGGTACTGAATGTTATATGAAAGACAGTTCTTCAGTTGTAAATTCTCTAATAACTATTTCAAACTTTGAATATATTAGCATATACAAATTTTTCTAATGAAAACCCAATTTTAGGGTTAAGAAACAAGTCTGTGTAAAATGTATTTCATAGATGTCTTCGCAAGCAGCTTCCAAATATGTATATCATTAATCACATGCTTAAAAACTTGCAAAACAAATTACCATACATATCTTAGTAATGATTTTCCTACATGTGTTCTTTTTTCTACTTCCAAATGTAATCACTTTCTGTATAGCTATTAGAAAACAAACAATGACTAAGAGATGTTTTATTCTGTTGGAACTGAAGCTGTATTAATATTTCATAGCTGTTTTAGTGGGTTTATATGGAGCTGATCTGTGGTCCTTGATGTCAAAACTGTCGTGACATTCCCTGAAAATATTATTTTATCTTCATAAGATGAAAATAAAATACCACAATTTATCTTCAATCCCTAACTACTTTGCTAAGTTTTTACTATACATAACTTTCTTTGAATAAAACATTTAAAACTTCTCAGTGTTATACAGGAATCAAGGATCAATAATCTAAATATAAAGATGGAAACATTAACCACAATCTTTTTCTCAGTATTGCAAGTAACATAATTCCTTGGTTATGACAAGGTAGTTCCACATGAACACAATAACTGAGATTTAATTTAGGTTTTACTCAGCCATAAAATTTTTACCACAGTCTAAAATTCAATGACTATTTGGAAACCAAAAAATATTGAAATTAAGAAAAAGAAATGAAATGATTTGTTTAACATTGGAGTGATACCAACCAC